TGGATCATTACTATATTTCTATTTTTAATTTTTTGAGGAACCTCTAAAGTGTTCTCCACAGTGGCTTCACCAGTTTGCATTCCCACCAATAGTACATGAAGGTTCCTTTTCCTCCACATCCTCACCAACCCTCGTGGTTTCTTTTTCTTTTTTTTTATAAATTAATTTTTTATTGCTGTTCAATTTACCAACATACAGAGTAACACCCAGTGCTCATCCCGTCAAGTGTCCCCCTCAGTGCCCGTCACCCACTCACCCCCACCCCCCGCCCTCCTCCCCTTCCACCACCCCTAGTTCGTTTCCCAGAGTTAGGAGTCTTTATGTTCTGTCTCCCTTTCTGATATCTCCCACACATTTCTTCTCCCTTCCCTTATATTCCCCTTCACTATTATTCATATTCCCCAAATGAATGAGAACATACACTGTTTGTCCTTCTCCGATTGACTTACTTCACTCAGCATAATACCCTCCAGTTCCATCCACGTTGAAGCAAATGGTGGGTATTCCTTGTGGTTTCTTGTGTTGGTGATTTTAGCCATTCTGACATGTGTGAGATGATGATGTCTCATGGTAGTTTTGATTTGCATTTCCCTGATGATGGGTGAGGTTGACCATCTTTTCATGTGTCTGGTGGCAATCTGGATGTTTTCTCTGGAGAAATGCCTGTTGTCTCCTACCCATTTTTTAATTGAATTATTTGTGTGTGTTTTTTTTTTTTTTTTTTTGTATTGAGTTGTAGAAGTTCCTTATATGTTGTGGATATGAACCTCCTATTGGATATATAATTTGCAAATATCTTTTCCCATTTGGTAGGTCATCTTTTTGTTTTGTCTATTGTTTCCTTCACTGTGCACAGGCTTTTTATTTTGATGTAGTCCCAATAGTTTATTTTTGCCTTTGTTTTCCTTGTTTCAGGAGATATCTAGAAAAATGTTATTATGATCCATGTCAGAGAAATTAATACCTGTGCTCTTTTCTATGGTTCTTATGATTCACATCTAACATTTAGGTCTTTAATCCATTTTAAGTTTATTTTTGTGTCTGGTATAAGAAAGTAGTCCACTTCACTCTTTTACATGTAACTGTCCAGTTTTCCCAACATTATTTGTTGAAGATCCTTTTTCCCATTGAATACTCTTGCCTCCTTTGTCATAGATTAATTGACCATACAATTGTGGGTTTATTTCTGGACTCTGTATTCTGGTTGATTGATCTATGTGCCTGTTTCTGTGCCTATACCATGCTGTTTTGATTACTATAGCTTTGTAACATATCCTGAAATCTGGAATTATAATACCTTCAGCTTTGGTCTTCTTTCTCAAGATTGGTTTGGTTACTCAAGGTCTTTTGTGGTTCCATACAAATTTGGGGATTATTCTAGTTCTGTGAAAAATATTGTTGGTATTTGATAGTGATTACATTAAAACTGTAGATTGGTTTGGGTAGTATAGACATTTTAATAAAATTCTTCCAGTTCATGAGCACGGAATATAATATCTTTCTATTTGTTTATATAATCTTAATGTTGATGTGGCAGTTTTATGTTCTATGTAGGGTGTGCTCCACCAGTGACTATCACCAATAACTACGGGTTGGGGGGGCTCTGTTCAGTAGTCCTCTTGCCTTTTAACAAAAAGACAAAAAGTTGCAGAAGGTTAGCAGCCCTTGAGGGACCATCGGCATGGAATGGGCCGCTGTCAGCTCCTGTAGGGAGGAGGGCTGATTCCTTCATTGGACTTCATTCACATTGTATTTGTAGCGGTGTCTTAGCAAATGGAAGTCATACATAATGCAAATTCAGTGACTGTCCTCACACTCCTCCTATACAAAGGGGCGGTGAGGAAGAAAGGATTGAGAGAATATTCCTAACTCAGTGGTTCTCAATTTGGGACATTGGCAACATCTGGAGGTGTTTTGGTTGTCACATAGAGGGATTGCTACTGTCATTCAGTGCTCGAGGCCAGGGATGCTGCCAAACACCTTTAATGCCTAGGACATCCCTCAGCAGCAAAGGATTTTCTGGCCCAAAACGTCAATAGTGTTAAAGCTAAGAAACCCTAATGAAGGGCTTCTGTGTATAGCTAATCTCAATCGCTGGTAATAGTTAAATGCCATTTTTACTTGTGGGCTGTTTGACTGGTTATATAGCTTCCAGGCAAAAAGGCTAGAGGAGTTTGGTTTTTTAACACTGCAGTCACCTCCCAGTGGTACCACTGCCCCTGTCTGCATGGCTGGTCTTTGGCAATCTTCAGGTTTCTGGAGAAGCAGTTGATGCTTTCGATTCATTATATGAGCAAAGCTGGTGGCTCCTGCGTACACCAGTTAAGGATGTGCCAGGGGTAGAGGCTGAGTCATGCTAACCATGGCACTGCAACCCCTAGAGGAGAGCAAGCTCATGACCCTTTCGATAAAGTGATAAACTCCTTCATCACTTGGGAAGAGATTTCTTGAGAAGGATGAGAGCGTTTTCCAGAGGATAGTTTTATTTTTTACTTTTATGTGTAGCAGGCAGTTGTATAGGGCTTATTATGCACCAAGTGGTATTCCGAACATTTTATAAATATTAACTCATGAAGTCCACGTAACAACCCAAAGTGGTAAGCTTATCCTTTTTTTTTTTAATATTTTATTTATTTATTCCTGAGAGACACAGAGAGGCAGAGACACAGGCAGAGGGAGAAGCAGACTCCCTGCAGGGAGCCCAGTGTGGAATTTGATCCCAGTACTCCAGGATCATGACCTGAGCCAAAGGCAGATGCTCAACCACTGAGCCACCCAGATATCCCTAGGTTGACTTATTCTTATCCCTTTTTTTAAAGATAAGGAAATAGGAGTGAACAATAAGGAAGGACGTAAACCTAGAAACTTTGGCTCCAGAGTCTGGGCCCTTCACCACAATGTTGTGAATGAGAGACACTGAATTTCACACTTGAGTTCTTTCTCTATCTACCCTGGCTCTCGACTTCTGGCTGGTCCATTGAGGCATCAGGGAATTAGGCCAACCTGACTCAAGTCCTCATTCCAGTTAATTATCTCTATAGCCATGAGCACATAACTTCATGTCCAGGAACCTCCGTGTTCTCATCTATATAAAATGAAGTTGTACCTCACCGGCCTCGCAGAAGAGATTAAGATAACGTGGGGTTTCTTAGATTTCTATGTGGCATGTAGTAGGCATCCAGGAAACATTAGTTCCTTTCTGCCCTTCTCTGTTATAATGCTATTTTGAGCTCTGTTGCTATAATGTTGTGGCCAGCTGCTTCCCACCTGTGGGTAAAAGACACGCTGAAGACCAAAAAATAGCCCCGGTCAGATATTTGTTAGGATGAATGAATGGACTGCTACAGAGGCTAACATTGTGAGGAAGTCTGATGTTCAGTTTGGGGAGAGTAGTGGGGAGGTTGCGCTTATGCCAAGCTCAGAACTCACCAGACTTTCAGGAGAAAGGTGTGGGTTTGGTTCTGCTTGTAATGTTTGGTCTGCTCCAACCATGCCTCCCATTTGTAAGCCACACTACAGACTTGCATGTTAATCCCACACTTTGTCTCTGTTTTAATGGCTTTCCTCTCCACTTGACAACATAGGACAGACAGCCTAGCCTGAGTGCCTTACGGCTGAGGGTCAAGGTTGATTGGCTGTGTCTCGGGGTTGGTGAACTGATCCCGTGTGTGCTTCTTTCCTGGCCAGATGAGATCACCTACTCAAAGCAGGTTTGCCCTGTTCCCAGTAGGAGGGAAAGTGGCAATTTTGCATTTGTCTCAGTTCAGGACTTTGCATATCCTGCTACCCACACCTATGCACTTTTCCCCTGAACCACTCCCAGCTCATTAATGAGGCTGGATTCTATTCACATGGGTGGCCAGCCTGTTGTCTTTCTGCCTTCCTCACATGTGCAAATCAATGTATCTTCTTTTGATTATGCGTTTCCAGAAGAGAGAAGCTTAATCTTCTTGTGTGTGTGTAATACCTCGTGTACAAACTTAGTAAATGCTTATGTATATCTGAGGGTAAAGTGTCTATAATTTTGTCTGAGAGAAGTGTAGCATTTAACCCACAGTCACACGGGTAGAAAAGGGAATCAACTCTTAAATGTAAGCACCATGAGAGACTATCCCCAGCATCTAGGACAGTGCCTGGCACACAGTAGTTGTTTAGTAAATATTTCTTGAATGAATGAATGAATGAATGAATCTGGTCTTAATTTAAGTATCTTTCTAAATCTCCTTATAGTTACTTCTGAGTTATCCAACATGCCTGGAATTGGGAACTGGAGTTTTTATTAAGTATTACCATAAGTAACCAACAGAAATAAAGACTTGGGAAAAAATTGGGATGTACTGGAGGATATAGCACTAAAAATAACTTTCTTTTCAAAGATTTTGTTTATTTGTTCATGAGAGACAGAGAGAGAGAGAGAGAGGCAGAGACATAGGCAGAGGGACAAGCAGGCTCCCTGCTGGGATCCTGATGCGGGGACTTGATCCCAGGAACCCAAGATCACAACCTGAGCCAAAGGCAAGATGCTCAACCACTGAGCCACCCAGGTATCCCAATGACAAGGAACTTGATCCAGAAGCTACTTCAAGGCCTTTCTGCACTTTGGGGTTGTCATTCTCTAGGTCAGACTACTATGCTGTAGGAAGGAGGAATTTAACAGAGTGCTTTGACTGAATGCTAAGGAATACTGGTTTTTTTCGATCAGCCTAGTGGCTGGGAATAATTTTATGTCACCTACTGCCAAACTCACATCATAGAAAAGACCAATTTTTTTTGTACTGTCTTGACCACTTGAAGATGGTCTCTGTCATCTGTAAGATAGGGTTTGTTAGGACATGTCTTCAGATAGTACTTCTTGACTGTGCCACTTTCTGTTCTCCATGTCCGAGAGAGACAGAGAGGAGGAGGAGGGAGAGCGAGAGAAAGAGAGCAAATGCATGCATGCAGCAGACAAACATACAGAGGCCAAAGAATTTTTCAACTATCTGCATTTTCTTTTACAGATCTGAAGAAAACTCTTGCTGTGCTGTTGGATAACATCTTGCAGCGCATTGGCAAGTTAGAGTCAAAAGTGGACAATCTTGTTGTCAATGGCACAGGGACAAACTCGACCAACTCCACTACGGCTGTTCCCAGCTTGGTAGCACTTGAGAAAATTAATGTGGCAGGTAAGAACGGCACTTGTGTGTCCTGACATGGAGTCAGACCCTGCTTTGAACCAGGAAGACAATAAAGGAGCACAGTGGTTCTTTCTGGTATCAATCCCATAAACTTGGTACAGCCCCTCTAAAGCTGATTTTGAATTTGTTTTTGATTAACATGTTAAAAGACTTTTAAAGTTTCATCATGATATGTAATCCTGGTGGCTTCTGTGACATATTTCACATAATGAGCTCCTGGAATTCACTTTTAATGAGAAGATTCATAGCATGGATAAGTGAAATAGAGAGGTTATCTGGGAAGCTCATGCCAGTTGGAGGTCCTTTCTCCTCCTCATTTTTGTCAGTTTCAAAAATCTGTTCCATATAATAGATTCTCTCCTTCCCATTGTTAAAGAAGAGCCACGATTGCAGAAAATGTCTCCTATGTGTATATGGGGAGATGCAAATTCTGGAAATGGCACTGATGAAATAAACGGATCTTGGGCTGATTCTGCTGCCCACTCATGGACACCAACCTGCATTTCTCCCTGGGGTGGATTTAGTCTAGTCCCTTCTTAAAACTAGACTCTTGGATGAGAGAAGAAGAATAGATTAAAGAAAAAGCTCAAATCTCGTACAGTGTGTATTGCCTATGGCTTGTGTCGGATACCCCCTATCACACTGTCCTGGGGTTACCCTCTGGGTCTCTGTATTTAGCCAGGACTTGTTCTTATTAGGATGACAAAGCAGAGCCCGAGGATTAGGATAAGGTGCTTTGGGTGAATGGTTGTAGATGAGTTGTCTGCATTTCTGGTGGTGGTATCCAAACTCTAGCAAATGGATAAAATAAGGGGCTGGGTTGCTTTCGGATACTTTGAAAATCTAATTTAGTGTACTTTTTGGTTTCTCTCTACCTCTGACTTGCATTATAGAAAAGTACGGACTTTAGCAGGAGAGATTTTTCTCCTTTCCTACCTCCTAGTGTCAAAACATTTAATTGTTTCGCATTATGCAAGCTCGTTGTATTACCTTTCTGTTATGTTCTTTGCCCTTTAGCAACTGTTAAATCACAAAATATATTTCTAATAATCCAAAGTGTCCAACCCAAGAACGGTATTAAAAATAACTTTTAATTACAACACAGAGGCAGTGTCATCTGGGCCATAAATCCTATCTTCCCTGCAGTTTTCAACAGCTTCTGTAATTAGACAAGAAAACCTCCCACTGTGTTGAGCTGCTTATTAATAAATGGAACCCATGCCTCTCCAACCTCCACTCCTCCACCCCCGTCCCCAGTAGGAAACGCTACTGAAAAGGTCCTATCTGATTTCCTGGCAGTTCTGCGTTTTCCTGTTTCCAGAGGTGGAGTGGGGTGCTCCGTCTGCCTTTACCTTCACTGCTTCCCACGGCCTCTGTCGTATATGGCCCATATAAATAAGTCAGTTGTCATTCTATGCCCTGAGAAGGGATCTTGCTGACTCTGTCCTGATTGTGTGCCAGGCTCACAGGGAGACTCACACTGCCTGGGCTTCAGGTACCTGGGTTCAGAACGGTAGATAGAACTTCAGGAGTGAATTGGGAGGGAGTCGGTGGCTCCTTCTTTCAAGCGGGATCCTAACTCCATGTATTGAGTTAGTTAGTTTACTCCATTAACCCCTCTTGAGCACGATTTCCAAGTTGATGGGTCTCCTTTCCATGTGCCACTGGTACTCTGTTTTTACTAGTATTTAAAGGACCTTAAGGATTTTGTGTGTTTTGTGGGGGTGGGGCAGGAGGAGAAGGGAGCCAATTTAGAGTTGTGCCTTTAGTAATTAACCTCATTGTCACTCCTTTGCATCTTTTGTATATGCTACACTCTGAGATTTTTAATGGCCAATTAAGAAGATAGTATATATGCATAAAATCCCATAAAAGGTGGCCATGTAAGGGGAGGTAGCTATGAGGCTTCTCATAGGAAGGTACATTTTGAAAGTAGGTAGTATTGAGGCATAGGGTCCTCATGAAAGAGACACAGATTAGAAATGGATTGTGACTCAGGAAATAATTGGCAGGAAGAGGAGGAAACTAACATCCAGCAACTATCCAGGAAATACCGGTTACTATTTGTGATCCTTGGAGGCACATGATTTTACTCAGTCTTCTCAACGTCTATGATTGCATTACTGGTTTCACAGATTTTATGGAGTTGAAGTGTTTGGAAGGGGGATACCTTTAGTGTAGGAATCCTCTGAGGTCAGCTTAAGACCCAGCACCATTAAGAGAAGAGGTTGTGAGTGTTGGCTCCATCTTCCTGGCTCTCGTTTGTAAATCATCACAAATGGGCAACTTTAGAAAAATATGCTGCCATTTTCTTAGAGGCTCCTAGAGAGCTGACAGTTTCCTGGGATATTTAATAACCTGTCTACTAAGGAAGTTCTCTGTGTCTTAAGAGTCTGTTTTTATGGCCAGCCTGTGTAAAAACAAGCTTGTCCCTCTGTGTGCACGGGCAGTCCTCCCTTAGGCCTTAATGGCCACAGTGGATGTAGACATGAGGGAGTGGGGAGGAGGGCTTTATATTTTGTCAGTTGAACAACCTATTTCTAAACTGTTTGCCCTGTCTGTAGATTAGGGTGCCAAAGAGAAGGATAAAATGTTAGTTTGTACACTTGTTCAGGAAAAAGCCATTTATTGCTTTTGTTGCCCTCTCTCCAATCCATGGCCATATTGTCCCCAGACCCCTGCTCTGGAGCCTGGAGAGCGTTCATTTTTAGAGGGTTCCAATTCTGAGTGAAGTTTTTCTCTCTTTTTGCATTAAGACATGTGGTTATTGCTCAGAAATGTTCTCCCTGGTGTGTCTTTACTGCTTACTCTGGTGTCTTATTGCTCGCTGATGTTTCTGATTGCTTACTGTTGTGTCTTATTGCTTGCTGATATATCTTCTGGTTGGCTCTAAACTGATTCTAAATTAGGTACCCATAGCAGTTGAAGAAGGGTTCCCTAAATTTATTTTCTTTTTAGGCATAGCTCTGTATATGTGTGTGTGCGTGTGCCCTTCCTCTGTTTAGTTGTGTTTTCTGTACCTTGTATCCAAAATGGCTTTTCTTTCCAAATTTATCACTCTTGGGCTTTTTTATTCTGTGAAAGCAATGTTCCCCTAGAGAAATCTCGCTGGAAATGAACTCCATTGAAATCAAGAATTAGCTCGAACTGCGTTCTTGAGTTTGGTTTATCTTCTGGAATACGAAAATGAATCGAAGAAACAAAAATCCAGATTTTAAAATATCCCCACCCTTCAACCAGTCACATAGTAAATCAGTTTCTACTCCTTGAAAGAACTTGAATCTTTGCCAAAATTATACACTTTCAGAATGAGGCATTTGTTTTTGGAAAGACCGATTCTGCTTTTCTCTAGTTTTATGATCTTAAATTATGAAGCAGAGTGAATAGCATTGGATCTGTTGTTCTTTGCCATGTGCAACATAGAGGAAAGGTTAAAAAAAAAATTGTGATAATGAAAGTGCTTGCCTTTTGAGGCCTGACAGTGTCCACTTGATCTTTGTTTTGTCCATAGTGCCTTGTCCAAAGCCTACCTGTTGAAAGTACATAATAAATGCCCCCTGGGATTGGATTGTGCTGGAGGGGACAGCATGCAGTTTCATTGCTAAAAGGAATGTCTCCTTTTGGTTCCTCTTTTCCATTTCTGCTTATGGGATTTGCATGGAAGTGGGGCTTGGCATCTCATTTCCCTTACTCAAACCTTAGCAAACACCACCTATGAAGTAGAGTTTTGTTTTGCTTTTTTAATCTGTCATGTCTGAGCTTCCCACAAATGCTTCCATGCTGTGGAGTCTTCATAGAATGTGATGGTTACAACTCTAGATGGTAGTATTTTAGGGAATGGGCACTCTTTCCATCAGTTGGGGGGGTGGGGCATGAGTGCATGTGTACCTCTGCATTTATTTACTTATGCTTTAAAGAACTAGTTGTGATTCACATCAGCTGAATGACATCAGCTGAATAAGTCACCAGCATTGAGGGTTAGCTATAAGGCACAACTTGATGATAACATTAAGGCTGATGTCCAATAGTGAGTCTAAACCAAACTTTAGCCAGGCCTACATTTCACAAACGTCAATAGTCACACGCTGTGTAGTATGTGTAGTATCACAGTATCTGCAGGTGAAGTGCAATGTATTTGAGCTTGGATGCTGTTCTCAATAAAAAGAGCCATAATTATTATTCTACCATTTAAAAACTGAAAATGAAAAATGTCCCTGCTGAGTTTCAGGACTTGCATTTGGAAGTGCAATTTTCCCCCTTTTGTGCTGTTAATGAACCTTGAAATTAACTTGCATCTGTGTTGTTTTCTCACTTGGGTCCCCATGTTACCAGTTGTGTTGGAGTAGCACCTAAAGTGCCTCAGCCCCCTGCCCAGCTCCACAGGTGGCTTTTTGGGGATCAGGTAATGGCTGGTGTATGGCACCCCAGATGGCTGGGAGACAGGAGAGGGCTGGGTGCTTTCTTATTAACGTGAGTGAGAAACACAGTTGTTTCTACATCTACATGTATATCTACATGTACATGTTGTTTCCAGTTTCATTCTTTATAAGGGCAGCACTAAATACTTGGCTGCTTGTCAGAGATAATTCTTTTGGTATCTTCCTAGAAAAATGTATGTCATTGCTGGTGTGGTTTTCATTTTGTGTGGTCAGGGTGTTTTGATTTTTGTCATAAAGAAGGAGAAAGGAGGGCAGGAGGAGGAAGCGAAAGAGAACTACAGTTCGAGAGAAGTGATGCTAACCTTATGAGCATGGATATTTATAGCACTGATGCTCAACTGCTGGCAATTTTGCAAACCCCTCCACCCCCCTGGCCATGCTTAGCGATGTCTGGAGACATTTCTGGTTGACATCTAGGAGGTACTATTGGCATCTTGTAGAAAGAGGCCAAGGATGCTGCCAAACATTCTGTAGTGCATAGGCTAGCCCCCACAATAGCAAATTCTCTAGCCAAAAATGTCAATTGTAGGGGCACCTGGGTGGCCCAGT